CACAGGTATAGACAGAGAGAAGGAAGAAGTAAGATGTCCCCCGACAAACTAAGCCTATATCAGCAAAACTAGGGGCTGAATCTAATCAGCCCTAACTATAAGCTTTATCAAAAAGGAAGGCCTTAAGCGTACTCTTAAAAATGGATAGGCTGTCTGCCGCCCGACCACAAACTGGAATCTGATTCCACAAAAGTGGAGCTTGATAAGAAAAGGCTCTGGCTCCCATTGTGCTTTTAGAGACTCTAGGAACAACCAACAACCCTGCATTCTTGGAACGCAATGCCCTAGTAGGACAATAGGGTATAATGAGTTCTTTAAGGTAAGATGGCGCCTGCCCATTAAGGGCTTTGTAGGCGAGAAGAAGAATTTTAAATTCTATCCTGTGTTCTATAGGGAGCCAGTGTAAGGCAGCCAGAACAGGAGTAATGTGGTCCCTTTTCCGAACTCTAGTTAGTACACGTGCTGCAGCATTTTGAATTAGCTGAAGCGAATTAACTGACTTTTTTGGTTTAAAGGTTTTATTTTGTCTTTCTTCAGCCCCTCGTGTATGACCAGCTATGCTCAAGCTGGAAAGAATAATGTTGAAGTGAAGAAATGCAAAGAGAAAGCCATCGTAAGTATTTGTTTCTCTTTAGTTCACTGGTCTCAAAGCAAAGTTGTCAAAATGTTGTTAGTCTGATCGACTATTTTTTCCATCAGGAGGAGCGGCGGGTTGTTTACGTTGGTCGAATTCGGGGAACGATGACCCAAAAAGAACTTAGAGAACGCTTCTCTTTTTTTGGCGAGATTGAAGAATGCACCCTGCACTTTAGAGACCATGGGTACGTACATAAAAAGCTTCTGTAATGGAGATGACTTTACTGTTAATATCTTAATATGGCTATAACGTTACATTGCACTGTCTTTGAACCTTGTTGGTCTCATCCATGACCTCTTAGGCCAAGCTACAGTGCTAAAGCAAATTCAGGCTTGTTCATAACTGGAGCCCCCTGGCAACACCCCCAGGTTGCTCTTTTAAATGCAAGTCACAGCTCAAACTACGTACGATAGCAATTTTGACCTTTACTAGACCGCAGACAAACTTAAAATGAATACAGGCTGATGGTTTGGTTATCTCTCACAGGGACAACTATGGGTTTGTGACTTATTACGACACCAAGAATGCATTCACGGCCATCGAGAATGGAAGCAAGCTACGCAAGTCCGATGAGCTTCCATTTGATCTCTGTTTTGGAGGAAGGAGACAGTTCTGCAAGTCAAACTATGCTGACCTGGGTAGGCATAAATCAACTGACACAAAGTTCCTGTAGCTCTTGCCAAGTTAATGTTAATCTATCAACATATTATTGATGTTGATTGTGATCATTACCATTTGAAGGGATCATCGCACTGCAGGTAGAAGCATTAGTTTCTCTTGAAATAAAACCACGTTGTACATTTTACACATATATAATCTGTTCAATATTTGATATTCCATATTCCTTATGTCAGTGGTTCCCAACCCTTGGGGGGGCCCCAGGCCAGGCCTCAGATGATTTGTGGCCAAATATCATATTTAGACTTTTTTTTTTTAAATGTTACATATAATTGTAAAGCAATACATGATTGTCACTAAAAGCCTTGTCTTTACATTACAATAAAATATAAAAAACAATTGATTAATTAATTTGAATACAAATTCAAGTTAGTAGCTATTAAACGCATAAAAAGACAGAAATGTATAATTCTTTCTTTAATAGAAATGTTTCTTCTGCCCGTAAAGTGTCCAAACCAGGCTTTTCTGGATAAGCGCATTTTTAAAACATAGTCATTGTCCATTGCCGGTTTCAGTTGGATTATTTGTCACAGTTGCTCCGATCAGATCTCCGACCATTTTGTAGATTATTTACGACTTTTGAATCCACATAAACACATCGACAAAATCCGGCTTACTTTGAGCATGTGTTTTAAACAGTTTACCCCTTGTGTGTGTGTGGGGGGGGCGCAACTTCCAACAGGAGTCATTTGGGGGGGCTCTTGGGAAAAAAGGTTGGGAACCACTGGATTAGAGAATAATGTGTTGTGTTTGGGTTCATTCTTACTATTGCCACACAATAACTGGGAAGTAGAGAAAGAGGACACTTAGCTGATGACACTCAGGTTATCAGCCAGATGTGGTTTTCTACCACATCCTCTGCGGCAAAATAAATGCATCCATTTACAAACTTTCATTTGTCATATCCATTACCTCACAGTCCACTTAGTGAGTTAGTGTCCCAAACACATTTATAACGTATATGGTTTAAGATACAATGTATTGAATTTATTTATAATTTACTAGAACTCATGATGGTCATTGGGGTGTAGTTCTCTTTTTATTTTATTCTTAGGAACAATTCAAATGTTATGTGCCAGTGCTGACCAAATACTTCTGGTCCATTGATCCTACTTAAGACTTTTAAAACTCTTAGTGGATAATGTTAATGTTAATGTTAATGTGTGTGATCAGCTTCCGAAAGGCTTACATACTGTATTATTTTCCTAAAAATGTCAGTAGCCTACTGACAGTCACATTAAAAAAACATAATAAGCAATGGCCCCATGCCTTTAATTTAAGATCTTCAGGAGTTAACTTTTCCTATTTTTCAATAAAACACAAGATAAATGTCAGGGGATGTTGCAGTATGAAGCCCACAGTGTGACAACATCAGCTCAGCAAGCTCCACTATCATTTAAATCATACCAAAATAATATCTTTTGAGAGTTGAAACATTGTTAAATTCCAGTTAATCTGCTATTCTGACGCAGTGATGGGAAAATATAATGAAAGGTCAGCGGATATCTCCTTAATAGCACGTGAATACAAATACTGATGATGCTTATAAATAGAGATGTAAGCAACACATTTCATAATACCAGGCCACGACCTTTGCTATAAATATAACTCAATGTCCAATACCGTCATCCCAATTAGTTCCCGAAGACCTAAAGTGACGGTATTATCCAATATCTTCACCATCTCATAAATGACGGGTCGAAGGATCAGCAGCTCTCAGCAGCAGCTAATAACATCGGACCAAAATGCCCCCAAGCAGCAACCTGAGACCACCTGCTTACACAATAAATATTCAACAACTCCATCTAAAAACTCGATGCGTATATTTGAATTTGAAGACAGGGGATAGAGCAAAGGGATAAAGCACTATTAATTTTATACACATTTTAAATCCTCCTTTTATGTTAGCCTTAAAACAGTAGATTGTGTTTCAGGAGTAATCCGGGGTTACGTGATACAATATTTGTGATCTAAGTAGATCAGTTGTCCCCTTATGAACCATTAGGGAGGAAGTGGGTATTCCTACTGATGTATTTTGCCTATACTGCAGCCACATTCATCATTTATGTATTCTGGACACAGGGGAGTTTAACATGAGGTCTTTATGACCTTCACAATGCTTTATGGGGTCAAAAGTCACATGGAAGTAGAAGTTTTTCACAGTAATGCAATAATATGAGCTCTGTAGCAGATGCTTATGTCAGAGCACGATTCAATTTACGTGACAAATACTTGTGAAATACTAGATATAAATTGGTGCAATATAAAACAAGGACACTCATAGCGGGTTCAGTAAATAAATATGATTACACTGGATGGTACTGAAAGCTATTGAAACACCTATTGAAAGACACACAAACACACACACACGCACACGCACACGCACACGCACACGCACACGCACACACACACATCAGTGAATTTGTACGACCAGTTGTATTGTCAGTGTGTTATTTAAAGGTGTTGGAGGGTATCTTAGCAACATTTACATTTCGCCCATATTTCACAGTATATCAATTATTTCTGCAATCTAGCAAAACCAATGAGCAATGTGGAGTTGGTGTACAGTACATGCTTAGTTTGAACTTGCAGAAAAGTCCCTCTCTTGTCAAACCCCACCATGAAGGATCTATTTTCAACCAAATACAACTTTAAGACCATCAACAGTCCTAGAAACTGCCCACAGCAAATCTCTTCACAGAGCTTATTCGGCAACACTTTGAGAGACCTGCCTGTGGCGCTGGTGGTTATTACCTTTTCTTCAGACTGATTTGTGTGGCACTCACCACCAGCAGCGCAAAGTGCTGAGCTAGCCCTCCTTAAAAAAAAAAGTAACATCTTGAATTTGTGGTAGCGCACCCACCAAACATCCGTGTCCGACCTTTGATGTGTTTATTATTGGTTTATTTCCTGCTTTTGTAACATTGTAATTTGTTTGTTACTTGTATACGGACACAGCGATTACTTTCCTAGGCTGGAGCTTTTGCAGAAGTTTTACAGACCTGCATATTTTTCCAGGGAGTAAACGTACGGTATTATTCACTTTTTATCATTCATGCTGGACTGAGTTTAAATGCTCAATGTTTATTATATTCCATCTTTCTTTTCCTTGTTCTCATTAAAATTTCTATATTTTTTAATTTGGTATGATTTCTTTGGTTTCTTGGGTGCCTAATCGTCTAGTATCTGCCCCTCTGTCTCCATCCTCATCCTATTTCAATTTTTTTTATCTCCTGATACGAAGGCTGTGAGCCTGCCCCTAGGCACCTCCCATACTTTATAACCCTGCCTTCATTACCCACCCCGCTGAAGCCGGCCATAAATGAAAAACTGAAGGTGTGGGAGCAGGGAAATAAAGGAAGGAGTATAGGAAAGGAAAGGAATGGGTTAAAATGGACGGAACGAGTCAACTGTGAAAGAGATAATAAGGGTAGAGATGGACTGAGAGAGAGAAAGCATGAGAGTGAGCAGAAGCTAAAGTGTTCAGAGACACACTGAAAAGGGTAAAAAGAGAGTAAGAGAGTAAGAGCAAATCCATAAAATCTAAGTTGGAAGTTATTGGAGGCCAGCTGGATGAAAAATGCCATCGCCATAAAATAATATTACAATTGGTCTGGCCTTATGGCATTGATGAATATAGATGCTGCCCAGCGGGGTCTTTGGCTGGGGGAAAGTGGCTAATTTGAACGGCCAGTCTGCCATCTTACCTGTGAGGGCGGTAAAAACATATTAAAGGAAATGAAATGAAAGGTTCACTGTCAGTTGTTTAGTTTATAGCCCCACATTTTCATCTTATAGCGGGTTATGTTTCAGACAGAAGTCTCACTTGCTAAGAAAAGCTACCAACGGGGGAGTAAGCTATGTGCCGGATTTTTCCTTAATATCCCTTTATAGAATGAGTAACAAACCTGAGCATAACATGGACATCTGAAAAAAATCAAACCCTCTCTCAACCCCTTGCATTGAAATCAGAGATTTTTTTTACCCTCACCCGACTCCAACACATTGCCAATAAACTGCCCCCGAGGGGCAATGAGGACTGACAAATGAATGACAGCTGAGTGGAAAAGGACAAACTGAAGTCTGATCAGCTGTATTGACTGGAGGATATTGAAAGGCAGCTGGACGTCTTAATTACTGCAACGTCGTGGTCATGCCATTTTTATCACATTTGAGTTGGATTTATAGATCGCTATCGGCAAAACATAAGGCCATCCTGATGACAGGGAAAGTGAATAAAAAATGTAGAGAGAGATTTAAAAGTGGATTAATTAAGCCATAACAAAAGAAAAAAAGGGTGATATACATCCTTTTAATCTGATAGATTATATTATTTAGCAAAAATCCATATTTAAACTAGTGGTTTTGCACCACTGCAAAATGTTTAAAATCATTCTCTTCTGCTTCAAAATCCTCAAGCTTCAACTGGTGGTAGCACTGTATGATCCACAACCCTGGAATAACACCTTACATATATTTAGTTCAATGTCCACGATCTTAAACATGTCTTCCTTTCAGTTCCTTTCTTTCATGATTGCCTGTCTTTATTTTACGTTGCCGGCACCACAGGAAACCTATACCACGAGCCACTTGATTTATGCTTCATTTCAGTGCAATGGTTATTTTCTCTGAGAAAATATGAAGTGTGTGCTACAAGAACCTGTGGCAATGTCAAGATCATTTCAAGCCTATACTGCGTTGTCTAACCTTCATATACAGAGAGTCAATAAAGAAGCGATGGGAAAACAAAGAGTGAGGGAAGAAAAAAACACTTTAGATAAAGCTGAAAAAACGATGGGGACACGTGGAGTAGTCTTATCTCCACATGGCCTGCAGGACAGCTTATAACCAAACCATACGTCAACTCAATGCGTGTGTGTGTGTGTGTGTGTGTGTGTGTGTGTGTGTGTGTGTGTGTGTGTGTGTGTGTGTGTGTGTGTGTGTGTGTGTGTGTGTGTCT